ATATAATATTGCATACATAAAATAAAAATATATAAATAAAAAAAAAGCCATTTAATATAATAAAAATAAATAAATTCAATTATTAAAAAATATCTTATAAAATAATTCCTTTCAAAAAAATTAATTTTAAAAAAAAATTATTGTTTAAAAATAAGACAAAACAAATTAAAGTGAAAATACTTTTGAAAAACATGGTAAAAATAATTAAATTTAAAAATCTATATTGTAATATCTAATACAACAAAATATAATAAATAAATAAAACATTTAAATTTTTAAAAAATCCTAATTATTAGAATGAATATTTATATTTAAATTGATTAGTATTATATAATATATTTATGTATTTTATAAAAAAATTTAAATTTATATAATTTTCGTATCCATTTAAATTGATTAAAATAAATAAACTTATATATTTTATTATTTTATTTTTCAAACCACACCAATCAAAAAATAACTAAAATTAAATGTTATTATCGTACAAAAATAAAAAATAATTTAATTAATTCATTTTAAATTGTTCAATTTGAAATTCAAATACATAAAATAGTTAAATTAAATAAAAAATAAATAAAAATGATATGCCATCTCAAACCTAACTTTACACCTTAAATCTATCAAATAAATAGGTTCAAAAAGATAAATAATTCTTTCAATTTTATTTATTTTATTTGATAAGTGAGTCACACATATTAAATAAACAATTTATTATTTTCGAAAACTTGACATATTAAATAATATTGTCATTACTTCACTTTCTAATTATCTTAAACTAATTCCATATATTATATAAGTTAGTCGAGAACTTGTTATATAAAATAAGATTATTTAATATATGAACATAATCTTTATATATTAAATAATATTAGACAGTTCACAATTAAAGTTTTTGAATTGATAATAAAGAATTAAGATAGGGAATTATATAAACATGCTAAGTAGAGTTTTCAAAGAACAAATTTAGAAATTTAAATACATACCAATTAAGTAATTATCATTCGTTGCCTTTCTGTTTGTAAGTTTTGGAATGTTAACAAAATTAAACTCAAAATGATAGATGGATGGAATCCATCTTAGAATGCAATTTCACATAAGAACATGAAGCTAATCTTGTAAGAATAATTTGTTATCCGATAGGATTAGGAGCACTGGAAGACATGCAATATATCTCCAGAACATCTTACAAAAGGCTTTTAAATGACTATAGAGATTCGGCCACCCTATAGTAATGTTGTCCTACAGATAGGATAAATATTATATATTGAATGTAATTAATGGGATCCAAATTATAAGAAACAAATAAAAAAATATAAACACTTACTAAAACATCCTGGAAGATCAATTCAATACTCGTTAGATTTTTTGAATATATTCCTACCTAGTAATATCTAAACATGAATCACCCTAACCACAATGCATCAATCCTTTTTTGTTGTATTAATGATGCGAATTGCCTACATCTTAGATGTAGAAGCCATTAATAGTATGCATAACAGTCGAGAAAAAATAAACCAAACGTGATTAGAGAAGTGAGACATATAATAATTGAATAAGGCAATTGACCTATAATAATGTTGTCCTACAATAGGATAAGTATTATATATTAGATGTAATTGACGGAATCCAATTATAAAAAACAAATACAAAAAATATAAAATTTACTCAAATTCTAGAAGATCAATCAATATTCATTGGATTCTTCGAATATATTCTACTTAACAATCTCTAAATATGGATCACCCAAACCACAATGTGTCAATCATTTTTTGTTATATTAATGATGTGAATTGCATTCATCTTAGATGTAGAAATCATTGAGAGTATGAATAACAGTAGAGAGGAAAATAAACCAAAAGTGATTAGAGAAGTGAGACGGGCGTGAAGGTGTGAAATGTGCTATTCACCTAATCTAGTAATTTATAATTAAATAAGGCTAAATTGGGAGAGAAATTAAGGGGTAATTTTGAAAAATCAAGATGATAGATATTAAATATTTATTTTTGTGAGTACAGATATTTAATGCATTTGAATTTTAACAAATTTCACGAGGGCCTTTTCAATATATTAGTATTAGTTAAAATTTAATATCTCAATATTCTCCATAAATAACAAATGATAGTTCTAAATACTTTATTGTTAAATAAATTAATATCTATATTATGAAATTTATATATGTAAAATTTAACATCATGAGATCCAAATTTTTAATAGATTAATATCTCTACTTATTATAGTTATAATTCTCTAAAATCATGAGGATAGTCTAAATATTCAAACACATATTCCTTTTTCTAGATATTTAAACAAATAAATATTAGTTTAAACTTGAATACCAATATATTTGCATATATATACTCAATCATATGAACTTAAATTTTTGGCAATCTTTAGAGTGGGTGAAAACTTTAAATAGATAGATATTAATTTGAATTCAAATATGATGAGATTTGAATTTTAAATAGGTAAAAAATAATTTTTATATATGTCTAAAATTAGTAAGTCATCTCACACATAACTCTAAATCTGAATAACATATTTTATATATATATATATATATAAAAAATAATAATTAGCTTGAACCTAACCCTAAATCTAACTTTAGAGTATGGAATCGCAAGAAAGATATCCCGAAGTACAGAATTACGACAAACCTAAAAATGAACACATGACATTTTCTTGTAGCTTTAACCCTATTTTTATATATATAATGATTTCAAACATTAAATGTTAGTTGAATATTTAATAAGAGAATATTTTAGGAGGGAATAAGTCAGGCCCTTAACAGAGGCCTACAGTTTGACTTACTTCAAGCCTAACTTAACTACTTATTAAATAAGTTTAGGTCAGACTCAAGCTTTTAATTAAGCCTATTTAGTTAAATAAATTAGGCCTATTTTTTAAAGGTATTGCTTACGAGTCAAACAGGCCAGCCTATATATATATATATATATATATGGAATATATAAAAAATACATCAGTTTCACCATATGTTTTAATTAATTTATTCTTTACTACTTTTAATTATATTTTCAATCATATTTGACTTATATATTAATTTTAATATTGTTACTTTATTGTCATATTATATTGTAGTTAATAAGTCATTTTAATTCTTATATATTGTAATTGATAAATTAGGTTATATATTAATATTATAATAGCCCTAAAGTATATTTGAGACGTTTAAAATTAAAAATGCGAGCCTATTTAAAGGCTTTACTTTTAGTAGATTTTTAATAGGTTTGTAGATTAGGCTAAATTAAGTAGGCTAAGTTTGAGCCTTAAAAAAAAGCCTTATATAAAAGCTTCAGGCTTTTAATTTATTATGCAGGTTTAGGTTCATAAAACCTAACTCAGTCCAGTTTATTTTATCCTTAGAAATATCTATTTTTTTAAATTGACATTCTATCCTTAATTTTTTTGCTTTCTTCACATGAGTTTAATTCATAGTTTTCAGATTCTCTTTTGTCTTTACTTCTCTTAACGTCATCCACCATCTTTGACTAACTTCTCGTGCTTCCTGATAAATGATAATTTTATATATTTTATCCTTTTAATTTAGACTTTTAAATATTTATTCGAGGCTAATTGAGTTTAATTAGATATTATTTAATTTTATTAGCCAATATTCAGTTTTGAAATTTCAACTAACTAAATCTTTAATTTTAAAATATAAATGATATCTTTAATATTTTTGCACAGGTGCTATTTAATTTTATTTTATTTGTGCAGATTTTCTAGATTCAATTTGAAAGATATTGATAGAGAATATTTTGGATAAAAAGAATATGGGCATGCTTGGAGATCAAATCAAGAATTTCTTTAAAATTTTGTTTAAATTTACTTTGGGTATTTTAGTGTAGTTTTTAATTAGGATTATTTAGGATAATTTTATCATTTTAATAAATTATTAGATTTTATTTTCTTTTGGAAGAGACGTAGCACAGGAGGCGCATGACATTATATATATTATATATATAAATGAAAGAGGAAGCACGATCTGGAAAAAAAAACGAAAGAAGGGAAACAGAGCAGCAATCGCCGTTCGTCTTTCCTTCTCCAATTTCTTGGGTGATGGCTTCTCAATTTTTCATTTTATGTTGTTTGATTTTTAATTCTATGGAGAGCTAATTTTTTTTGGTGTGATCAATCACAAACCATGATCTTAAATTTTAATCAGAGTCTTTAATTTTCAGGGAAGATTTTATTTTAGCTTTATTCCAATTTTCTCTTCTTCTCTCTACCTCTAAATTTTATGCTTTAATTACTATTACTGATTAGAGTAGCTTTATTGCATAATTTTTGAGTTATAAATTTTATCTGAGGTTTTACTTGCTATAATCGATTGATATAGCATTATAAGAGTAATTTGGCCTAGCTTGGGTGATTATCCATGCTTTGTTTCTGGTATAGCTAACATAGAACAGTTGTTAGGTTGTGGGTTAAAGGAGATCTCAATTAATCTATAACTTAATCTCTTGTTTAATTCTTGATGTTAATTTGAGAAATATATAAAAAATCAGAATAATAAAGGTAAATAAAATTGATTTGTTTGTGGACGAGGAAGATTAAGTTTAGGTGATTGGGTTGTGATTGATTGCGCTGCTTGTGCTTGATAATTTTCTCAGTTGAATTTTCATTATTTATCTAATTTTAATTTAGATTTTTTAATTAATTTCATCATTAAAAAAAACCCCCCCATCATTTACCTTTTCATAACCATAATTCAAATAGTTACTCTATTGACTCTTAGGGAGACGACCTAGGTTGCGCTTTACTGCAAAATCTAGTTTTTATTAATTTTGGTGCTATTCGACAGCAGTGTCAAAATTTTGGCGCCGTTGCCGGGGAGTCAAAGGTGTTAACTTTTGAGTTTGGTTATTAGTTTTTTTTTCTTTCTCATTTTTTATTTTCTAGTATTTTTTTTTTCAAGATTTATTATTTTCTTTTTCTTTACTTGTTTTAGGTGTTTTTTTTTTTTTTTTGTTTATTAGTGCATGACAAGGTCTTTTCAAGATAAATTAATTGATTTGAACTCTGAGATTGAGAGAACTTGTCGTACTAACCGTAAGAATCAAAAGCACCATAAAATTAGGGATAGTGTGATTTCTGAAATTTTGTCTGAATTGATTGATAGCATTATTAGTGATTCTAAATCTGACTTAGACTCTACAGTTAAGTTGGAAAATATGGCTGAAAATAATAATGGTAATAGGACAATTAAAGAATTAGCTGCGCCTAATGCACACTATCAAAATTTGTGCATTCAATATCCTAATTTAGATGCAAATGCTAGTTTTGAATTGAAATCTGGTTTAGTACATTTGCTACCTAAATTTCATGGTCTTGCAGGAGAGGACCCGAATAGGCACTTGAAGGAATTTCATATTGTGTGCTCCACCATGAAGCCTCAAGGAGTTTCAGAAGAGCAAATCAAATTGAGGGCTTTTCCTTTTTCATTGGATGGAGTGGCAAAAGATTGGTTGTATTACTTGCAACCAGGTGCCATTACATCTTGGGATCAAATGACACAGTTATTCTTGGAAAAATTCTTCCCTGCCTCTCGCACAGCAGCAATAAAAAAAGATATTTGTGGGATTCGTCAGATGACTGGGGAGACATTTCATGAATATTGGGAGAGATTTAAGAAATTATGTGCCAGTGCCCTCACCATCAAATACCATCAAATACCTGATCAACAGCTGGTTCAACATTTTTATGAAGGTCTCTTACCAACAGATAGGTGGTTTGTCGATGCCGCAGCTGGTGGTGCTTTGGTAGAACTTACTCCAACTGATGCCATGAATCTCATTTCTAAGATGGCACAAAATTCTCAACAATTTGGGACGCGAGCTAACCAAGCAGTCAAAGGGGTGAATGAGATTCAAACACCACAATATGATCCTAAATTTGAGAACAAGATGGAGGAGCTCTCTAGCATGGTTCGGCACATTGCCTTAACACAACAAAAATTAATGAATTCACCAGCAGTGCCAACTTTTCCACAGGCATATCCCTCACAGACGTGTGCACAACCTCAATTTTATAATCCTCAACAAGCTACCACATCTTCTGCTTAGTTGGGCCTCTATGTGGCATCTGTTTTTTGGCCACACACACTACTGATCATTGCCCACAGTTGGATGATAGAGTTGAGAATTGTGCTGGGATTTTTCCAACTAGACCTATGCAACAGGGCCAAAAATATGATCCTTTTTTAACACTTATAATCCTGGGTAGAGAAGATCACCCTAATTTCAGATATGGAGGAAGTCAACAACACCAATATAATGCTACAAGTCAAAATTCACAGCCTATGCAAGCAATGAGGCAATCTACTCCTATTCAAGGGTCTAAAAATGATGGACCAAGTCTGGAAGAATTAATGAAGCAAATGGCAACTAATAACATTCAATTTCAACAACGCACTGAGACAGTAATCCAAAAATTGGAGAATCAAATTGGGCAGTTGTCCACCTCCGTTAATGAATTGAAGAGTCAAGGTTCTGGAAAGTTGCCGTCTCAAACAGTTGTAAATCCTAATTGCAGTAATGTTAGTGCCATCACTCTTAGAAGTGGAAAGGAGCTTCCAGAGCCCTCCATAACATCTATCAAGAATAAGTCGGCTGCAGCAACACAAGTCACACTTGAGGAGTCTAATAAAGAAAAGGAACCAAGGAAGATCCTTCCATTTCCAAATAGGGAGACTCAAAGCAAGAAGTTAAAGGAAGTTGAATTGGAGAAAGAAGTGCTTGATGTTTTCAAGAAGGTTGAAGTCAATATTCCCCTTTTGGAGGCAGTAAAGCAAATTCCTAAATATGCAAAGTTCTTGAAAGACCTATGCACGAACAAGAGAAGATTTAAAGCTAATGAGAAGGTCAATCTAGGAAGAAGTGTATCAAGCTTTATTTCATGGAGGAATGCAGTGCCAACCCCCTATGCCCTTAAAATGCAAAGATCCAGGGAGTTTCACTATACCCTGTACTATAGGAAATTTAGAATTTTCTAACGCTTTGATTGATCTTGGTGCAGCGATAAATGTTATGCCCAAGTCTCTATTTTCTTCTTTACAGGGTTGTGAGATGAAGCCAGCCGGGATTATTGTGCAATTAGCAGACAGGAGACTTGCCTATCCTAATGGTATGCTTGAAGACATTCTAGTTAAGGTAAAAGATTTAGTCTTTCCTGCTGATTTTTATATTTTGGATATGGGTAAAGATGATAGTCATGGGCCACCACCACTGATTTTGGGTAGGCCATTTCTTAAGACAGCTAATACTATCATTAATGTTAAAGATAGTACTCTTTCCATGGAATTTGCAGGATGTGTTGTTCAATTTAATCTTTTAGAGGCTATGAAACATCCTATAAGGATCATTCTGTTATTAATGTGAGCATGCTTGATATGTTAATTGATGATACATATGATGAGCTTTACAATGAGATGGTTTCTAGTTCTCTTGAGATTGTTGATTTAGATAGCAATACACATTGTTCTGACTCTATTATTTATGAAGATTCTTCTGACTGTTCTGGTTCTGATGATATTGTTGAGTTATTCAAATCCATGCATGATATTGGCACTGGAACTTCTAGTGACTCTGATATGATTGCTTCTGACTCTGAAAGAACTATAGACTTTGCTATCAACTCTATGTCATGTAATTCTATTAATAATGATAATTCTAGTATTCTAGAACAAGATACTGCTGCTTCTTTTGATGGAATGCAGGTTTGTGGAGTTGATGAGCTAACTATTGACAAGCTAGTGTCCTCTATTCAGCAGCCACCTATACTTGAATTGAAAGATCTACCAGAACATTTGAAATATGCATTCTTAGATGAAGGTAAGAAATTACCGATTATTATAGCAAAGGATTCTGATCCTAGTCAAGAGGTAAAATTGTTAGAGGTACTGAGAAAGCACAAGAAAGCTATAGGATGGACACTAGCTGACATTCCAGGCATCAGTCCAGATATATGCATGCATAGGATCTTGATGGAAGACGGTGTAAAGCCATGTAGGCAACCTCAAAGGAGGCTTAACCCACTTATCCTTGACGTGGTCAAAAAGGAGGTAACAAAACTTCTTTCTGCAGGTATCATTTACCCTATTTCTGACAGCCAGTGGGTGAGTCCAGTACAGGTAGTGCCAAAGAAGAGCGGGATCACAGTTGTAAAGAATGAAAAGAACGAGTTGATTCCTATGAGAGTGCAAAATAGCTGGAGGATGTGCATCGACTACAGGAAGCTAAATGATGCAACCAGGAAGGATCACTTCCCTTTACCTTTTATTGATCAAATGCTAGAGAAATTAGCAGGCAAATCTCACTACTGTTTTCTAGATGGTTTTTCAAGTTATTTCCAGATTTGCATAGCTCCAGAGGACCAAGAGAAGACAACATTCACATGTCCATTTGGCACATTTGCTTATAGGAGGATGCCATTTGGATTATGCAATGCCCCAGCCACATTCCAGAGATGCATGATGAGTATTTTTGCAGATTTGCTAGACTATTGCATAGAGGTTTTTATGGATGATTTTACTGTATATGGAGATTCATTTGATGAGTGTCTAGTAAATTTAGATAAAGTACTTGAGCGATGTATTGAGAAAAATCTTGTATTAAACTTTGAAAAGTGTCATTTCATGGTTAGACAAGGTATTGTATTGGGTCATGTTGTTTTTGAGAGGGGGATAGAAGTTGATAAGGCTAAGGTAGATGTGATTACTTCTTTACCTTATCCTACTAGTGTTAGAGAGGTCCGTTCTTTCCTTGGACATGCAGGATTTTACAGGAGGTTTATACAGGATTTTAGCAAGATAGCCTTACCACTCTCAAGATTGCTGCAGAAAGATGTGGATTCCAAATTTGATAAAGCTTGTGAGCAAGCATTTGATGAGTTAAAGAAGAGATTGACCACTCCACCAATCATTCAACCGCCAAATTGGGATTTACCTTTTGAATTATTATGTGATGTTTCTAATTATGCTCTTGGCGCAGTACTTTCACAAAAAGTTGATAAGAAATCACATGTCATAGCTTATGCTTCCAGAACTTTAGATGCAGCCCAAGCCAACTATACTACCACTGAAAAGGAGCTTTTAGCTATTGTTTTTGCATTAGATAAGTTTAGATCATATCTTTTGAATGCAAAAGTTGTTGTGTTTTCTGATCATGCAGCATTAAAGTATCTCTTAAGGAAGCCAAATGCAAAGCCACGATTAGTCAGATGGATGCTCTTGCTACAGGAGTTTAACTTAGAGATAAAGGATAAGAGTGGAGCTGAGAATTCTGTCGCAGACCATTTGAGTCGCATTGAATCTCCTATGGTTCCTTCTATTCCTATTGATGATAATTTTCCTGATGAATGCTTATATGCTATGCATGATGTTACTCCTTGGTATGCTGACTTAGTTAATTACTTAGCTGCCTCTGCATTGCCTGTGCATTTAAAGAAACATCAATTAGATAAGTTCAAGAGGGAAGCTAGATATTACATATGGGATGATCCATACCTTTGGCGCATATGTAGTGACCAGATTATTAGGAGATGTATTCCTGACATTGAGTTTGAATCCATATTGCATTTTTGTCACACACTTGCTTGTGGAGGACACTTTGGTCCACAACGCACTGCTAGAAAGGTTCTTGATTCTGGATTGTACTGGCCTACTCTATTTCGTGATGCATATACATTTTGTAAGCATTGTGCTAGATGTCAGCATACAGGAAATATCTCCCGTAGAAATGAGATGCCTCAACAACCTTTACTTTTCTGTGAAATATTTGATGTATGGGGTATTGATTTCATGGGACCTTTTCCTGTTTCATTTGGATTTGCTTACATTTACTAGCTGTGGATTATGTTTCTAAGTGGGTGGAAGCTAAAGCCACCAGAACTGATGACTCTGTTGCTGTTGTAGATTTTGTTAGGTCACATATCTTTTGCAGGTTTGGTATTCCAAAGGCCATTATCAGTGACCAAGGGACCCATTTTTGTAATCGGAGCATGCAGAGTTTATTGGGTAAGTATGGGGTTGTGCATAAGATGGCTACCCCTTATCACCCCCAAACTAATGGGCAAGCTGAAGTCTTAATCGAGAGATAAAGCAGATTCTTGAAAAAACAGTGCAACCTAATAGGAAAGACTGGAGTAAGAGACTTGATGATGCATTGTGGGATACCTGCCTACAAGACTCCAATCGAAATGTCTCCTTATCGGCTTGTTTTTGGGAAAGCTTGTCACTTACCTGTGGAGATTGAGCATAAAGCTTATTGGGCAGTAAAGCAATGCAACATGGATTTAACTAAAGCAGGAGCCCAAAGAAAATATCAATTGCAAGAGCTTGAAGAATTTCGCTTGGAAGCATATGAAAATTCAAGAATCTACAAGGAAAAGACCAAGTTAATGCATGATAAGCTGATAGTTAGAAAAGAGTTCAAGGTGGGACAAAAAGTGTTGCTCTATAATGCCAGATTGAAACTTATGCCAGGAAAACTTCGTTCTAGATGGGAAGGTCCTTTTATAGTTACTAAAGTGTTTTCTTATGGTGGAGTAGAGATTATGGCAGAATCTACTGGAGCAAAGTTTAAAGTTAACGGGCATCGGTTAAAGCATTTTTATGATGGATTTGAGACACACATTGTGGAGGAGTCTTCCCTCCAAGATAAACTTAATCGATCAGGTGTATCATTTCTCTTCACTTTTAATTTACATTTCCTATACATCTTTCGAACTAGTTCTACATTGAGGACATTGTAGATTTTAAGTGTGGGGGGAGTTTTTTGCTGTTTTTAATTTTTTTTCTTTCTTGTTTTCATTTTGTTATTTTGTGTTCTTGTTTCAAAATAAAAAATAAAAAAATAATTTGTGCGAAGTTGCAAATTTAAGACAATTTTAGTTTGGATACATTTGAGCATGATAAATAATTGATCTTATATTTAAATTTAAGTTAAGTGGCAATGAATTTGGTTTCATTGAATTAATGTGATAGTCTTTAGCTTGTGAGAATTTGGCCTAATATTATCCTCTTCTTGTGTGTATTCTCCTATCACTACTCTCACTCTAGAACTTGTCTTGATTCTTAGTTGGGACTATAATTGTATATGCTTTGCATGAAGATGATTTAGGCATTCTTTTTTTAGCCTACTTAACCAAATAGCCATCCCATGCAATTTATCCCTTGTTAGCCCCTTTGAGCCCCTTTGAAACTTTTTCTTTAAAATCTTAGCCAATTGAAAACATAACCTATAAAAATATTTTCCTTTCATTCTTCTCACCCCACTTTAGGTGATGAAAAGTGTATTATAATATTTGTTGGAATGAAAGAATATGTTGAAGAGAGATTTGAGTTATTTTGAAAAAAAAAACAAGGGAGAAAAAAAGAAAGCAAAGGAAGAAAGGAAGAAAAAGAAAAGAAAGAGCATAAAAGTCAGAACGCAACAAAAATAAATAAATAAAAAGGTGCATGAAGCAAAGGAAAGGAAAACAAAACAAGAGAAAAAAATAAACCCAAATCAATTTATTTTGTTTCTTTCATTCTAGATATTTTGTTTCAAATATACTTTTCATTATCCTAAAGTTTATTAGCCGTCATTTTCCTATTTTTATACCATACCTTTATCTAAGGCTCATTACAACCTAAACTAAAGTCCTATTGATTCTTGCATTGCATATGACATAAATAGTGAAGACCTAGATGATAAACAAGCTTATGGTAGTGAGGTTTTAATAGGGGAACTTGAGTGAAACACTTACCTATATACATTTGAGAGTTGAGAGTTAAACACTTGACCTTTGAGAGGGGCTATTGCTTAATTTATTCTTATCAAATGAAATTGCCATGATACTTGTTATTTTGGATATAAGAGATATTGATTAGAGTGTTAAAATGTTGGAGAGCTATGATTGTTTCTTATACTTTGTTGCTTGCACATTTCTTTTCTTGAATTTTGAGATTTAAGTTTTGCCCAGGAGTGCAAAAGTCTAAGTGTGGGGGAATTGGGAATTGATAAATGATAATTTTATATATTTTTATCCTTTTAATTTAGACTTTTATATTTATTCGAGGCTAATTGAGTTTAATTAGATATTATTTAATTTTATTAGCCAATATTCAGTTTTGGAATTTCAACTAACTAAATCTTTGATTTTAAAATATAAATGATATCTTTAATATTTTTGCACAGGTACTATTTAATTTTATTTTATTTGTGCAGATTTTCTAGATTCAATTTGAAAGATATTGATAGAGAATATTTTGGATAAAAAGAATATGGGCATGCTTGGAGATCAAATCAAGAATTAAATCTTTAAAATTTGTTTAAATTTACTTTGGGTATTTTAGTGTAGTTTTTAATTAGGATTATTTAGGATAATTTTATCATTT